TTTTCCGATCGATTACCTAATGGATCTTCGCGCCGATCGCTAGTGTGTTACCCCACACTTTTCTTGGTGCCAGACAAGAAGTATCAAAGTCTTTACATCGCATTTATCAAGCGTAATCGATCTGCACACAACAAATTGCGATTGCATTGTCGAACTTTGGGACCTCACACAGATACACAACTACACAGATATATGTATATATATATTCATATATATATTGGCCGTATCGGGGCGTCTGCTTCCTGCCGTTGCACTTGGCACTTAACACTCGGCACTTGCTGCAAACGAGGTTCATTCAAATGCCCGATATCGGAGCTGTAAATGAGCAAACAATTGCGCTTTGTCAAATGACATAATCCCCCCCATAAATATTGTATAAACAATATGGAATCGAGCTGTATCTGCTGCAGTTGCTGCTGTCATTTCTGTTTTGTCTATGCGTCATAAGACGGCGTTAAATGCAAGTCAATGCACTGCAAAATAAAATGACAGTTTCACTTCTTTACTGACTTTTAATCATAAAATATTTTGGTTTTATTTTGTATTAGTTTAGTTGTTTTTTTCACATTAATTAAATAGATATATTTTTTTCAAAATGTTGAGCATGTTAATTTTTTTGTGCTGTGTGCAGATAGACAAAAGAATAGATTGTGGGGGAAATACTTGAATAACTGAGCTAGTTGCACCACCGTTACAATGAGCTGTAGGCGTGATAAGTACAACAGCAACATCTACTGCAGCAACAGCAATACCGCCAGCAACAACAGCAATGCCGCCAGCAACAACAGCAATACCGCCAGCAACAACAGCAATCAGCTGCTGATACAAATTAATTACGACGCAGACACAGAGCAGACGACGGCTGCCATATATACTATATAAAATATATATATATACACATACATATATCGCGTGGGGAGATCTCGGCTTGACATTGGCATCTCGGCAAGAAGGGAAGCCCGCCAAGTGCCGGCAAACCGGCAGAGCAAGTGCCGTAATCCGAGACATCCGAGAGATACCGCCACCGATCTCGGCATCTTCGCAGCTGCACCATAAAATATATATGTTCATATACACATATATATATATATATTCATATATATATGGTAAGCAGAAAAAAAACAGGAAGTAATCGCTCTCCTTTGCATGCGAACGATATACAATAAATAATTATGATAATGCTGCTGCTGGCAATGTCAGAGATGAATCTCGGGCAATGACACAGCTAAATCGACAGGAAGGAAGTGTTTGCACTTGTTAATGCCGGCACTCCAGCTCTCCGATCCCCGATCCCCGATCCCCGATTCCCGATTCCCGATCTCCATGCCCCCCCGAGCAACATGAGCACCAGCAGCAACACAATCGCCAGCAACATCAGCAGCAGCAACATCATCATCATCATCGGCAACACCTTCGAATGAAAAAAAACGGGAGGAGGGTAGGGGCGGGCCTTTTGGAGGCGTGGCACAAGCAATATCTGTCAGTCATGAAAGTCAGAACCTAAGCTATTTGTTAAATCAGTAATGTGTCTATAGTGTAATAGGGTTTTAAGTACCTGCTGTTTGAAATAAATATAAATGCGAGTTGGCTTAAGCACTTGAAGCCAGCTATAAATTTGACTATAATTATTGCCTTCAATAGCACTATAGTTTCTAAATGAAATATAAAAAAATAAGTACTATTTTATATACAATTTATTTGTTAGGAAATCAGAATACAAATTTATGAAGTATATTTAAAAAAAGATTATTCATTTTTAGCTATAAACTGGGAAGGGAAGTCATAAAACTAGTTTGCTGTATAGAACCGAACAAAACATTAACAATCTTTTATTAATATAAAATCTAGTTATCAAGATAAAAGCGTAATAAGTTTAAAGACGAAGAAATATTGTGTAAATTGATAAAAATCAAGAAACTTAAACCACAGCCTAATGACATAACAATTTATTCAAACTTTGAGCTCAAAGCGGCAAACAAAAGGCCTAACTTTTTAGCTTAGCCACACCATTTCTGAAAACATTTTCTCCAAACCCTTGAAGTACTTTCGCCCACAAAAAGGATTTCCAAACTTTCTTTTGCAGAACACTTTCCCTTTTCTTTTTTCCATGTGATGTCACAGATGTCGTTTGGCGCTCTGTTGTTCTTTTGAATTCTTGTGTGCGAATGTCTGTCTTTATTTGACTTTTTTGTCACTCTTGTTCGGCTACAATTTCGTTGTTGGCCGGGCTTAAATTTCGTCGCAATTGGCGCAAAATAAAATAAAATGATCGGAAGGGCAGCGGAGGGGTTAAGGGACTGCTACAAGCATTTGTGACATTCAAATTTCAAGCTGGTCAGAGTGCAAAAAATTCCTGGAATTTCTGGCATTCCTCAAATATGGTTATCACTCCTCACACTTCACATTTTATATTCTACACTCTCTGTACCAGTAATTATAGCAACCAAACATTACCCCTGAGAACATATTTATCCCGAAAATGGGCACCTGAATTTTTCGTTTCGTGTATTTTATTTTCCCCGTCTGCTTTTTTATGTTGTTTAAGTTGAAGGTAAACAAATAGTAAAAATCGCACGCTAAAATTTCAGCCATTCATAAAAAGATTACCATCAAAGACCAAATTTCCAACGAGTCTTACATTTTCTGGGAATTATGGACAAGTCAATGAAAACACGTTCTACAATTTTTCCCAATTTAATTTTTCCATTTTATTTACCTAGTTTATGAAAGACAGAAACCATAACAACAAACTTTTTATTGAAATAAAATAAAAATAGTTTTGTGGAATTTTATTTTTGTGTTTTCTTTGATTAAAAGGTTTATAAAATTATAAATTTTTAAGCTACTTCATTATTGGGTGTTAAGAAATCTAAAAACTGGTGTGATTTAAATAACGATCCTTAGTGAGACTCATAAATATATATATCCCTTAATAGTTCTTACATAAAATGATACTTCAATTGATTTAAAGTTCAGCTACTTTGATAAAATTTACGAGCTTAGCGGAATTTGTCCGCAGTATCATTATATGATTATTGCCCACCCGCATGTTTTTCCCCCTCGAGCGGAAGCCACCAAACAAGCGGGATTCATGCGCACATCATCATTATCGTCGGGGCCATTATTATGCATTATGTGTGCCCCGATTACCATCTCCGTTTGTCGGCAGAGGGCTTCCCGCTGTCCAGGGGCAAAAAAAAAAAAAAAAAAAAAAAAAAAAAACACTGCGGGGGCGGGGAGTTGGTAAGGATAAGCGGACTTTACGCAACTTTGCGCTACGAGCCCGCTTACATGGCCCATCACATGATTATGCTCATGAATTGTGTGGGTGGACGCAACAAATGCGCGGCGGCAATTGATTCTATCAATTTTGAATGCTTTTTTGGGGGAGAATATGTTACAACAGTTCCTAACATGTCAATTATTCCACATTTTCTGCAAACTAAAATCGAAAAGTCGGAACTGTTACCTGTCAATAAATTAAAAAAGGAACATCTGTTTTGAACAATTTCTAAATGTTAGCATGTTTTCAATTAACTAAAATGCCAAGCTTGTTTAGTAATAAACTGCTTCGGGTAAATACTATTTATTCAAATTTAAGTCCCATGCCTTATTAAAATTTCTATTGTCAATTCCATTAAAAAGTGTCTTTGCAAAAACGAAAAGGTTTAAGAATAACAAAAATATTGAATATGAGAAACCAATTAATTTAGATAGCATTCTTTTGAAAGGTGAATAATGCACTTATTAAACTTTTCGAAAGGAGCAACTTGGCAGAGTTTTATCCAAACTATGTCACAGGAAATCTGCTTAACTTTAATAGCTCATACGCCAGATACTCTGTTTTTCTCACCCCTGACCCACGAAGTCTGAAGTTTTTCGCCGAGCCAAAGTTTGTGGAAAAGCTTGGAAAATAAGTTTTTGTTGAGCGATGATAAAAACTGACAAACAACTTGATACATGGGATGAGCACTTGGCTATGATGGAGGTTGACAACCGAGAAGAGAATTGGAGAAGTGGAGAATCGGAGAGTTGGAGAAAAAGCGACAAGATGCTAATTAAAAACGGCGACAAATGAAATCAAAGTCAAGTCAAATTGGTTAAGTCAAAGTTGGGCCTTGCACGATTTTCTCAATATCTCGAGTATCTCTATCTTTTCCACTCTCCTCCAATATATATATATATATATATATATATATATATGTATATATAATTATCTATATTTCTACCTCTCTCTAAAAGCCAGACAAACAGCCGCCAACGATTATCGACGAACACAAAGCCAGCGTAAAACAAAACTTGAAATTTATCACCGAAAGATTCTTGAACTCGTCACTAAGGTCGTCAACTGTCGCCCCCCCTCCTCCCTCCTGGTACCCCCCTCCTGGTACCCCTTGCTACCCCCTCCCCCACCCTCGATCGGAACAGGTATCTCGGAGTGTGCTGACTGATTGTTTGACTGATTGATCGCTCGATCATTGATTGATTAACTCCAGCTCTTGTTGTTCTTACACAAAGAGAAACGAATCATTTGAACAATATCAGATCATTGTTTATATCAGTTTATAAACATTTTCATTTCACCAAAAACATTCTTTGATTTGTTTATTTTATTGTATGTATAAGCATTAAAAACATTACAATTATTTAGTTTAAATACATAAATAAATATATATATAATTTAATGTTAAAGTTTAATGAAATTCAGATCGAAATTTAAGAAATATATAATGGCCAAAACCAATTGAGAAATATTTTTAAGCATACAGTAACCTAACTTATTAATTAAAATGATTAAATAGTTTGAAATAATCAAATATCTGTTAAGTTAAGTTTATTAAAACAAGAAAATAAGTAAACTTCAGCATTTATACGCTCTATTGCCAATTAAAAATGTTTGACTTTTAGAGGACTCGTGAAAGTTATACAATTCAAGCGTATTTATTTGTCTTACCGCAACACTTACTAAGTTCTCTTCTTGTATATCTTTTTAGGTGCATATGTGGCAGCCATGAAGCGGCAGCGTTCCACTCGCTGCCAGCTGTTATTATGCCCGGCCACTTGTTGCAGGCATTCATGATGCAACTGCGGCAGCAGCCAGCGGCACAACGAACTCGATTCAAGTCTTTGGTGGGCCTCAACCAAAAACACTCATACGCCATGTGGGCGCGAGGCGATCGGAGGATGTTGCATGAACAGCAGCCAACAACAACAACCGCAACGGGCGCCACACTGGCCCACGGCCAAGGCTAAGGCCAGTGCCACAGCCACGTCCACAGCCACAGCAACTCACATACCAGCAGTACCAATACAAAAACACCACAGCAACAGCAAACAGCCAACTGAAACATCAACAAAAGTTGAAGAATTCCGTTGAACTCGAACGAAACAAAACATCAACAAAATGTCTGAGGTAAGTTTAAGTTAAAGTTACAGAGAGCAAAATGTCTGGTTACAAATTCGAAAGCTAAAATTATTTAATAGGAAAGGAAACACCTCTTAAAATATAATATTTAAATTTGAAAAATGTAATTGTTGATCTGAATGATCTTTACTGTTTGGTACTTAATTAACAAAGGTTTTTAAAAAAGTTAGTTCCATAAGTTGCAATAATAAATAAATTATTGAAACAATAATAAAGAAAATGGATTATATGGATACACCATCCCACTTCTGTATATTTGTTTTCCATTCCATTATAGGTAGGTATTAACCCATATGGCCATAGTTTTGAAACTTTTTTTAGAGGTACATAAGTCAAATAATCTTCATTCAAATACAAATATTTTTGATAATGCTCATGAATAATACATCTCTTCTAACTTCTGAAATGGTTTAAACTTATCGTTATAGTTATTTCAGTGTGGCTTTAAGGAAAATTAAAAAGGGCAGGAGATGTGGCTTTTTAATGCTGCCTTTTTGAAGAGACGGGGGTCAGCATTTCCATTTTTATTGAATTAAAATCGATTTTCAGTTTATTTTATCAAAAGACTTAAGAGCATCAAACACATTAAAAGCAAAAAACCGCACACACTCTCACAAAGACAAGAAGCTGTTCGAGGGGGCAAGGGGAGGGGGAGGATGGTGTGTGTGTGTGTGTGTGTGTGTGTGTTTTCAGGGAATGAAATAAGAAGATGAAGCTAGCACACACAAAGTCTTGAACTATAAACTTATATTAAAGTGGGCGATTGACAAGGGGAATAACCTGCTATAAATGCTTGATAAAAATGAAATGGTCAATTATTATCAGAGATATGAGTAATGAAAATTTACTAACACTTTTAAAGTGTTTAAATTTTGAACGAGACTTGGCAAGACACAATAACTTTTATATAATTTAAGGGCAAAAACCACTTAAATAATAACTTTATAGTTGCTTGGATTTTTGTGGTTGATGATTGTAATATTGAGAACCCTTACAACCTTTTATAAATAATTTATTTAAATTTAAAGTTCAAATGATTTCATCTTTACGAAGCCTTTAAGAATCGGCTCTTGACCTTAAGTGAATATTCTGGTTTCAAGATTATATTAGAGCTGCTTTCCTTGGGTTTCGCATTTCTTTTGCCGCCCTTTCCACCGCTTCCTGCTGGCATTTCCCGCATAGGCATTTGAATTTTGGGTCACTGACGTCGTCATCGTCTCCGTCGCCATCGCCATCGCCTCATGTTTATGTATGCGTGGCTATATGTCGGCCATATAGCTATGTAGCCATATAGCTATATAGAACGCATACCCATTGAGTGGGAGCATCGTGAGCAACAGGCGGCAATAACGACTCAGCCAAGCAGCTGTCGCCATAAACAAGCACGGACCCACCACTCGCACACAGACATAAATATTGACCTAATTTGCACCTGTTTACAAATTCATTCGAGCCACTGCTGGAGCTCAGGAGCTGAACCACCCAACCAACCACCCAACCACCCACTCCATCCTGCCACTTCGCGTCTCGGCAGGACTTTGTGCTTTTGGCGCATGATTTATGCGGCAAAAGGAGCGCGACAACCTCGACAGCGGCTCCATCGCGAGCACTCCTAAGTGGGTCGACCATGTCCACACATCCACAGAGTCGCATCCACATCCACAGCTACAGCTCCAGGCACAGCCACATCCACATCCATATATCCACATCCACATCCACATCCACATCCTCATCCAAGCGAAGCCAAGCCCAGCCAAGTCGAGTCAAGTTGAACACAACATGCTAAGCCGAATGAACGTGTTCTTGCACGGAAAGAAAATACTAATAAAAGGGTTCAAAAGTAATTATACTGGATTTTTAACATTTGCAAATTTTATAGCTAAACACCCTTATATTTAAGTTTTCAAATCCTTTTTTATTTGTATTTTGCAAAAATAAAAGATTGCATCCAACATTTGCATTAGCAGTATGGATTTCTTTCTCTGTTTGACTTCTCGGTCAGATTGGTGGTTGCATGTTATTAAGGGGTAAATTTGCATTTTCAAACCGCTCGTTTGGGGGTAAAGTTTGCTACGGGAGCAACAAATTTGCAAATGCGAAATTCGATTTTATACTGCACTGGCTTACGCGGCGTATACTTGATCTGTGAAGGATGACAGGATAAGTCCCCGAAATAAACGAGGGCTGTAATAGGTTGAACTAAGCGAAAGCAAACTACCTTTGGTGGAGCAAAACTAAGAATTTAGAAATATTTATAAGAGCCAAGAAGAAAACTGCAATTTAACAATATGAAAATGTTGCATTTTTATTGTTTTAATTAATAGGAAGAATTCCAATTGTGATAACAAATTAACATAAAAAGAAAGATAAAATCCTTACAGTAAACATAATCTTACAAATTTGTGTATAAAGTAGAAAATAAGTACCTATGATTTAGCTACGTTAAAAATGTTTTTTGCCATATAAAGTTAGTACATTAAACCTGATGAAAGATAAGAGACACTCGCTGAGAGGACTTGAAAATCGTTTCCATTGCGGCAATTGGTGCTCCATCAGAAGTGAGTTAATCCATGGAAGAGTCTGAAATTGAGATACTTAGCTGGGTGAATGATTAACATTAATTGCCGGGTGCACCAGTTGCGGATTAGGAGCACTCGAAACGCGATTCAATCGAGGGCTTAACGAGTGTCTTGGTCATTTGCCTCGACTCGAATCGACTCGACTGACTATAATGATGATGATAATGACGATGGCGTCTGGCAATTAGGCCGATTTGCCATCAACTTGTCCTCGCCCTGACATTGCCATTGAATTATCCTCATCCTCGTCCTCATCCTCATCCTCGTGTTTGTGCTTGTGCTCATGACCATTCCTATTTCCACTCTGGTTATTTTCATCGTCATCATCGGCTGCTTGTCTTTGACAGCTCGAATCTGTTGTTGTTCGGGCATTGATTTCCCTTGATTGATGCGTTTTTAATGAAGGCGGATAGCCAGGTGCCCGGAATCATTAGCGCGATTTTCTCCACTCCTCCGCCTCTTTTTTTTATGTGTTATCCAGAAAGACAAACAGCCCGCAATAAACTAAATGAAAAATAAATAGTCAATAACAAACGGGGCAAGTGGTGGGGTGGCTTCGAAAAACCAGAAGGCGAAGAAAGTGTCGCAATGTCGTGGCCTGAAATTGACACAGCACTAAAGTTACGACGAGCAAACAAAAGTGGCCAACAAGCAGCTTCGGGCCAGATAGGCGATATGGGGGAAAATGGGAAAACGGGTCGGCTGGAAAACAGGTCAACAGGAGAGCTGGACAACTGACAAACAAACCAGGCACGAACACACGCGCAGACCTAAAGCTATAGAAACAAAGGACCGGCGCCTGCAAGTATGCCATCAAAAATATTGTAATCACAAACTATGCAAAAAAGCAAAACAGAGAGCTACATATTACCGACAAAACTGGCACGTTTCTCTGCCACCGTGTCATGTTCTACATGTACAGCGAGAGAAAAATTATCGAATATCTTATATTAATAGTGGATTAAAGTTTAAAAACTCAACCAGGTTTTTTTTTTCGGATTTAGGCCAACATATTTTCATAAGACAAAATTTTAGAAAAAAAATATTGTATACCACTTGATTGGAAATTTTATAACGAATTCAACGATGTATGGCATTCCAAGATCTGACCATTATTTCCAAGGGTTTTGATTAAAAAACTGAAAAAACAAGCTGTTTTTTCTGGATTTTGGCCATCAAAAAAATGTATTTAAAACACATTTTTTTAAGGGTTTTTTTGTTGTAACTTTGCCAAAATACGACGCACAGTCAAATGAATGACTGTTTTGTGCAGCTGACAACCTACACAATCGATTCCAGGAGGTTTTAGTAAATTTCATTTTTTGACCGATTTTCGCATTTTTGATAAGGGGTAACACTTGATTTTTTTCCAAATTTGGGCCGAAATAAAATTTTTTAGCTGAGTATACCAATCGATTGGAAATTTTGTAACGAATTCAACGAGGTATGACATTCCAAGATCTGACCATTATTTCCAAGGGTTTTGATTAAAAAACTGAAAAAACAAGCTGTTTTTTCTGGATTTTGGCCATCAAAAATATGTATTTAAAACACATTTGTTTAAGGGTTTTTTCGTTGTAGCTTTGCCAAAATAAGAGGTACAGCCAAAAGAATGACTGTTCTGTGTAGCTGACAACCTACACAATCGATTCCAGGAGGTTTTAGTAAATTTCATTTTTTACCGATTTTCGCATTTTTGATAAGGGGTAACACTTGATTTTTTTCCAAATATGGCCCAAAATAATTTTTTTTATCTGAGTATACCATTCGATTGGAAATTTTGTAACGAATTCAACGAGGTATGACATTCCAAGATCTGACCATTATTTCCAAGGGTTTTGATTAAAAAACTGAAAAAACAAGCTGTTTTTTCTGGATTTTGGCCATCAAAAAAATGTATTTAAAACACATACCAAGGGTTTTGATTAAAAAACTAAAAAAACGAGCTGTTTTTTTGGATTTTGGTCATCGAAAACATACTATAGTATAGTTGATTGTTTCGGGCTTTTGGTCATACAAAATATTTGTTGCTGTTTTTTGTTAATTAATAATTATAATTTTTTTTTGATAAATCAGTGCTCTTACAAGCCCTTTAAATCTTTCAAAGATTCCAATATTTTCTTCAAATGTATACCTAAAGCGAGGAACAAACAGACCAATTAAGTCGCATTAGCTGACTCTCAGCCCTAATTTCCAATCAAATCAATGGGAATTATGTCCCGCCAAAGACCGCAAGTTGTCGCTGGGCTGAGGTCTTTATGTTCTTGTTGCGAATTCATTACTCTGGCGTTGCCATGGAGGCCGCAAGGGGGGGGTCAAGGCGGGGCCAAGGTTATTATGAGCAGTGGTGCACCGCAACCCCCTCACCCCCCCTCGTCCCAGGCAGACCTCTAATCTGCAATCGCCAAA